CCACTTCGTCTTCAACAAAGCCATCTTTGTTGAAGCCATCTCCACCCTCCCTGGGGTAACGCAGACACTTGAGTTGCGCGTCCATCAACAGAACCTGGGCCTCCCTCAAATCCGGCATACTCTCCGACTTCGATGCCCAGCCTCCCTGGAATCTGACTGCCCTGTCTCCAAGGTGCATCATGACCCTCATCCAAGGTCATCCCAATGCCCTCTCCCTCCTCCAGGAGGTTTGCCAAGGCTGCCTTAACCGTCAAGACATGCGTCGTCAATGCAGCCGGACTCCGCAAAAAGTGTTTGCGTCATCGCTTGCCAACTTCCCGCAATGGTCGTCGCTTTTCCACGTGGCTCCATGGGACTCAAGCAACAAATTAACAAATTGACCAAACAGGGGAGCCGGTTGTCATTGCCAGGCGTCAAAGCTGCCAGGGCGGCAATGCAAGCACGCGGTCCTGTCTTTCCACGCAATGATCTTGACCTAAGTCCAACTATCTTGCCCAAGAACCCTGGTGCCCTGGAAATCGGTTTGATCCTGGTGGACGAGTACGTGTCGGCCAAACGCTTCGCCCTTCTCCAGTCCCCCCCATTGCCTGAAAGCCAAAGGCTGTAGCAAAGAAGTCGGTGGCGTAGAAAAGGGTCTTGGGAGTCATGTATCCAACTTGCTCCTGAACCAAGTACTCAACAAAATCAAAAATCCCAAATGTTTCATCAAAACCCCCGGGTCGTTCGTCCAGGTCGGGCCGGGCCTCCCTCCAGGCCAGTAACCTTTTCATGAGCCTCACATAGTTCAAACCTGTGGCGGCTTTTTTGGAACAGTCAAAAGGTGGAAGCGCTCACCATCAAATTTCTATTCTCACCTTTTGTCAGCTCCAACTTGATGCCATACTTGTTGGCCGTCTTCCTGTAGAGCTCCACTGCCTCCTGGTTGAACAGTTGTATATAAATCTGCCTCCTCTTAATCCCTCACAGACGTTGGTGCACTCAAGCGCCTGCGCCGATGCCTACTCCTACCCCTACCACGCTCCTCTTCCTTTGGTGCCGCTGGAATAACCGGGGGAGGCTTTGCTGCGGCACGGAAGGCTGCTTTACTCTCCTCCTCTTTGGTTCTAACACCGAGAGAAGGGATGTCGTGCGGCTTCTTGTCCACCTTGAATGGGGCGCTCACTTGAACGACTCTTGCACCTTCCGGGGGGGGGATGGCTTTCTTCAAATTCAAAAACTCAGCAGGTGCTGCAGGCATGCTACCTGAGAGTTTGCCACTTCTGCTCTCTTTTGGCGGGCGTTTAGGACTCTCCATGTCCTCCCAATCCCTCGGATTTGGAACACCCCGACTCAAGGACTGGTTCAGCAACTTCCTCCTCCTTGGTACTCCCTCGTCTCGAAGGGGAACAGCTCATCAAAAATGCTCGTCCTGCGCTCCTTGACTTCCCTGCATCCAAACTCACCAGATGAGCTGGACCACATCTGCTCTCCAACAAGGATGCAACCCCCCATCGAGCGGCCCATGCCCCAGCTGCTGTAACACCTGAAGTTTGGCCCAACTCGATAGGGTCTGGCACATGCCTCGAGCTACCGGCTCTAGAGCGAGAGGTCCTCGAGTCTCTCTCGCTCTCTCCCCTATCCTTATCTCGCCTTCTGCTCCTGGACCTCTTCCTACTATCAGGTGGGGGTGGCGCTCCCACCCTCCACTCTGAGGAAGCTGTCCTGCCCGGCGGTGGGGGAGGCTCAGAGGGAGGTTGAACCTTCTCTCCCCTCTCTCCCATCTTTCCTGCCTCCTTCCCCCTCTCTGCCAATCCTCCATAGAGGCTATTAGAGAAAAAAGCAGAGGCTGGGTCAAAGGCTTGAGGCAGTTCGGGAACATCCATGGTAGTACTTCCATATATGTTTTGTGCCATGCCCTGCTTCAAGCCAAGGCCTTCCATGAGACCCGTGCTGCCAGAATCAATCAAAAAAAATCGCCAGCACCCCGCCGGCCGACTCAGCACCCCGCTGGCCGACACGGCACACCCGCCGGCCACCTTTTCGGGATTCAGCACTATCTGCAGCAGATAGGCACGTTCTTGTCCGTGAGGCCCAAGCCAAAATGCGGCACTGCACCATCAGAACAGCTCTAGCTGCAGCAAACAGTGCGCTCAAAGGAAGGCAGACCAAGCACAATGGGGGGAGAGCAGCAACACAGACCAGCACAATCTGCTGCAAATATGGCTGAGAGACTTTCCAAACCATGAGAAGAAAAAGCCTTACCTGCTATCAAATAGAGCTTGCCTTCCACTTCGAACAGAAATACATGAAAGCCAGGCTGGAGGGAGCCTATCTGCTGCAAATAGACTCTTAAATAGACATGTTGTGTGGCCACTGGAAAAGCCCATTGCCTTCCCTACCTACCTGTCGTGTCTTAAAATTGGTGAAAGGGCTTTGAAGTGAGTGGGAGTGAGATCGTGTAAATCCGACCGGGTCCTTGGCTGCAAACGGTGGGACAATCCAACACAGCCAACCCAGAATATTCAACACTGGGAATTGACAAGGACCTTATTTTGATTTTCAATACGTGGATCGTTATTTTCAGGAGAGGTTTGTGTGAGGTCGGTACAGTGTAGTGTAGTGTAGTGTAGGGTAGTGTAGTGTAGGTTAGGGTAGGGTAGGGTATGGTGTGGTATGTATAGATGTGTGTGTGTGCATTCTCGTCGTGCGGTGCATTCCTCCTGACTTCTCTGTGGCGCATGTCTAAAGAGCTTTTGGACAGTTCAGCCTTCGACGACCGACTTGATTTTTGTGTCTAGTATCAATCTAGCAGCTTGATGTTGCCGATGATTGCGAGGTCTTCCCGTGTCATGGATATCATGATGTGACCAAACTCTGTGGAGCGTTCTCATGCCGAAGTTTGTAGAAGGCGCTATATATGCTTCCGCGAGTCCCTTCCGGGAATAGAAAAATGCATCAGTGAACCCCATCTAGTTCCACTATATCTACTGTATATATTCATACTGATGGCTGAAGTACTACTTCAAATGTGGACAGTCCTTAGGGCCAAACCCTGAGAAGACGATGAACTGAATGTCTGCAGGCCCTCACCAGCTCGCAGAGCTGAACATCCTTGGCGTTGTCACGGGTTGTCTGAATCGCTTTCGTGATTCTTGCACTCAGCACTTCAGCCTCTCTAAACCGAGTCTAAACCCTGCTCAAGCTGCCGAGAATGGAAGCAGAGAGTAGTAGTTGTTGTCGCACGATTAGCATCGTAGGAATGGACGATTTCACAGCGGTGTTTGATCCAATTAGGCTTGGCAGCTGCACAATGAAGTTGTAAGGTCGCTGTCCGATCTCAGCAAAAATTTGAAGTGAAGCATCCACTTGTCAGAGAAACTGAAGTGTGTCCAGTAATTCTCCAGGATTGTAGCTCTTCGTGCCCCCTTATATGAACCTTTGAGTCTTGCCAGGTTTCTGGGACATGGCGCCCCTGGAAACAACTCGTCACGTTCCGGTTCCAAGCTGTAGGTTGTGCTTAGACCTCTTGGACCAAAACTGTGCAAAGCCTACTTTGATGTCCAATAGCCCCCTTTTCGGCGTTGTCACGGGCACTTGATGCGCATCGGAACAACAGGCCAGACTGATGCAATGTTTCGCACCGCTGGCCCATGGCGCAAAAGCAGTCGGAAGGACATGTCAAATGGAACTGCTTTGGCATCCATGTTTAACCTATGCTGAAGGAACATCTCTGCAGCATGTCCAAACCTACAAAGTTTTGTCTAGAGCTGAGTCTGAAATCTCTGAAGCTCAGCTGATCTCATGTGACTTTGTACTGACTAGTGACTAGTGGTGATTAGTGCCTGCCTGCTTTTGTGAAACAGGCTCAGGCACGGAGACAAGCACCACCACGGCATAGCTGCTACCTGCAGGTAGCAGTGTAGCATACTTTGCAAAGTGCACACTGTTTATAGTAAACTGTAAACTGTGTCAAAGCTGAGAGAGACAGTTGTAAGTTGATGCTCCGAGCACCAGCACGTAGCTGCTGACTTAGAGCTTTCAATTTATATCAAACTCGGCATGGATTTGGTTGAGCGCTCCAGTTCCTGCGATGCTTATGTATGGTCGTTTGCAGCCAAGTGACACTTTACGACCATAAGCTGCCTGCAACATACTGGCACTAACCCTTGCACAATTGTGCACAATTCATGTCAGCTCTCAGGCACCTTCCGAGCTGTGGACTGTATTGGTGAGAGACTTGGGAGAAGCACGGTCCTGGAACATGCGTGCATCCACACCTCCAAAATGGTGTGTCCTCAGTTGAACCTCAGGTAGAATCATTTGTGGTGCGAACTGCTCGCTGGTCTCCGAGTTGTCTTCCAGCCTCATGGGGATCAGCAGCTATATACAGGAAGAGCAATTAGGGCTCGCGCGCGTAGCATCATGCATACAACTTTAGTCAATGTTTCCCCAAACAAGTTCATGTAAATATTCAGGCTACAAGAACAAAATTCTGGTGCTTGGCTTACATTCTGCACATCTTGTGTCCTTCTTTCACTGGAGAAGTCGAACGTTGCTTCATCTATTAGTTTGTCCGTTTCGTCATGTACAGTCTGGTTTCGTAGCAGGCCGATGTTTGAGTGAAAGCTACATTGTACCATGACAGGATTGATTCTATAAATGTCGGTTACCTGGGGTGCGAAAAGGAGCAGATGGGCACGTTTGCACTCGTTTGGGCTTGTGCCTCTCCAAACGGAAAAGAGGCCGCCCTCAAAGGAGGGGCTGGAAATTAAGACAGGGAGTGACAAGTCAAAACCTTGGTTTTTGAGCTTCTGGCAGTGACCTCAAGCGTCTCAGCTCGGTCTCCGATTTTTGAGACTGCGCTTGCCTCAGACCAAGGGCAAACCATCAAAGAAAAAAAAAGTGTGCAACTACTCCGACAGCATTCTATGTCCGATTGTGAAAACCTCCCCCCGGCTTTAAACCTTGAAACACACCAACGCCGCGCGGAACTCACTATTTCCGGAAGTGCATTTCATTGATCATCTTAAAAAAGGGGGCAGGTCCAAAACCTTGCGACCATGCGACACATTGGCAAGCTCCTCTCCTAGCTGTGTCAAAGCCTCTGCAGCATCCAGCGACCGCTGGGACAAATCATCCTGTGCCCGCGCCAAGCGCTGCTCAGTGTCCTGCACTGTACTGAGCTATAGAGGTGAGCCGGTTATATACAGTACCATCTTGCACACAAACAAGGCTCAATGTGATCTGACTTGGCTTTCCTCCCTGTTTCTCAGCCCTCTCTGCCTTTACGGTGGATTGGAGCATCGAACCAAAAAGGAAAAGTGGTTCCCGGCTCTGTCCTCCAGGTGGAACTCCAGCTCCTTCCTTTTGCTTTCCTTTTCAAGTGTGTCTCTCTCTCTCTCTTTTTTCACTGATCTCTTGTTTGGCCATCAACCGAGCCCAACTTCTAACCCCTTCACGTCCCTCCCCATGCTTCTGCTTGCAACTTCAACATGTGCAGCTTGACAGAAGAAAATAACCGGCAAATTGTTCATACTGATGCTCCTCTGGGCATTTGATGCACCGGCCAATTGATGCAAGAGTCATTCTCCGCCAGCTGCGCGCTGCTGGAAGCCCTCAGCTGTTCCAACTCCTCGTGGCTGAATCTCTTGCAGTCTTGCTAGATTCGTGGGACGACTCATCCATTTAATGGAAATGATGTTTTAGTCTTTTTGGGGGGTAGCTAGAAAGCTAGTAGCTTGAGTAGCTACAACGTGGACACAGGATAGCTCGCGCTTCTTCAGGGAAGCTCCCTCGGCCGCCCTAAAGGCGGCGGGGGAAGCTTCCTTGAAGAAGCGCTCGCACTAATGATTTGGTTCAATATCGAAATGTTCACCCACCACCCGCACAATACATGCACACAGGCGATTTCTATGCGGAGTGCTAGTTACACAGTTACACATGACAAAACACAGACGCTCCTGTGTTAGCGCCTCCACCGTCTCTTCTGCAGTGGCAAGCAACTCCGTGACCTCGACCAGCTGTGCCTGGAACAGGCGGTTGCTTTTGCTCACAAGTTTGTGCGTTTGCAGCGTTTGCAAGCATGCGACGCTTAAAAAAAAAAAAACTAAGGTGATCTTATTTTTTCACCTATTCCAAGACATATTCCTGACCATCACTGGTGTTGACAGCATTGACTAATCCAGCCCGGCTTCAGGCTCACTTGTCTATCCAGCCGACGTGAAATTCAACCACAAGTTGTAAGTTGGCTCAAGGATGTACTTTAGTTTCTAGGGAGATGAGGTTGGCAATTCCCTTGGTAGCATTCACACGTCATGCTGGCTTGCAAATGCCTGTTCCGAAACTCCACCCAGCAATACTTTGTTCGGTGTGTTGGAACTAATTCCATCAAAAATCATCATAGCCATATGGGCCGAACCCAATTTTCTCTGCGCCCTGAAAGTGTCTGCTTCGCGCCTCCAAGCGCCGGTTTTTTGAATCGGTTTTCTGCTCCAGCTCATCGAAGTCTTGCCCAGCTGACACCAAGGCTTCAGCCGCGTCTAGCTGCTCTTGCTCCAGCTCGCCTTGTGCCTCGACAGTGCTCCGACGCATCATATGCTGTGAAGCAACAGGCGAAAGGCCTTGGGAGAACAACAAAATATCATAAAATGTTTTTTGGATCTCTTTGGGAGTTTCTCCTTAAAGATTCTGGGAGTGGACCTTTTTATGGGCAGCGCCTGGTCCAGCTGATGCTGAGTTTCTTCAAGCTGCTCCTCCAACTCCTGCACTCTATGGAAAACACAAACACGCACCGAAAAGAAAATGATCCAACAAGATCGCAGGCAATCAAACCCACAAAGCGCAGCTGAATAAAGTGCCTTGATTCTGGCTTCCTGCTCAAGAAGCGCTTTCGACTTTCCTTAGGGTGCTCAAGCCGAGGCCTTGATTCCCAGATCCGTAAGGGCCTACGGCAAACCCCACATGTGATTCTCATGGCCACATAGCAGAGCAAGAGCGTGCTTATGGGTCTGCAAAGGGGTTCAGTCCGTGAGCAGATGGAGCTCTTGTTGGCCAATCTGACGCAATTTGTTTGCCAAAGATTCTGTCCGAGGCCAGGTCATCAGCTGCCTTGGATGAGTCTTCGGCAGCCTGGTGCCAAAAGCTGAAAGTTGCATGTGCAAATGACAAGCAGTGTCAAAAGCAATGGCAAAGGCAACAGCGTAGATCGATCGCCTCTAAACTGCAAATTGAAGCAACAACAACCAGCCAGTCGCAATATAAGCATCTGCAAATCTTGAATTGAAATAATTGGTGACTGCTGACTGCTATGTATAATGTATAAGCACCATATGCCCTTACTGCTGGCAGGCCTGAAGCTTTGTCTCCAAGGCATCATTCTCTGACGTCAGCTCATCCTTCACTTTTAGCATCTCATCCAGCTCCGCGCGCACGGATCTCAGCTCGCCCTCTGTCGCCTCTAAGTCCTTCTTCCTTACCAAGCGAGAACGCTTCCAGGCAACAACCATATTACGTCATGTGCTGTTCCAGTCTTCCATGTTAAATGGCTTTTCCCACACTTTCTTGTGTCTAAACATGTTGACGTCCAAATCACTTGTGCGACCCAAATAAATAAGCATCTGATTTGCACCAAGCTGCAGCTGCTGGCAAGCGCTTTGGAGCTGCTCATTCTCCGAGGAGACTGCCGTCAATGCGGCCGACGCATGTTCAGACGAACCCCTCGATTTTTGCTGTCCTGCTTTCTTTTGCCTTGCTGTTGGCCGCTCGATTAGGAGCTCCTCACAAACAGTAGCTATTTGCTCCTGCAAGTGGCCGAGCACTTGCTTGGTTGCTTCCACTTGCTTCGGGCATTCGCCACCAGGGGTTTTGCTTTCCAACTCCCTGAGCGTCAACGTAAGGTCACGTGCAACGCCTTGCAGCTGGTGGTGGAACTCCTTTTTCTCATCTTTCAATTCTTGGAGTTCTATCTCACCAAGACCATCGGAGTCGATCTGCCCAGCTTGTCCCTCAAGTTGCTCTAGCCTGACATTCAGTAGCAAATGAACTACCTGAATTGCATAAGCAAATGGTTGGCTGATGCTTGGTTCCACACAAACTTATTGACAAAATTGAGGCCCACCCTGTGCCTCACTTGTAGGATATCCTTTTCCTCTCGGAGTCTTTGTTGCTCAGCATCAAACTTGGCCCGCTCCTCACAGCGTTGTCTCACAGTGTCCTCCTTCAAGGTGGCTAGCTGCTTCGAAAAATCGCGCTCAGCACCAGATGCCTCAAGCTGCTCTTTCAAGCGCTTGGCCTCAAGCGAGCATACCTCCTTCTTCAGTGATTCAACTTGGGATCGCACTGAAACCAGCTCATCCTCGCGAGCTGAAAGCTTCTCTCGAAGTTTCACCATCTCTGCTTCTTCCTCTGAGCGTGATTTCTGATCATCCTTGGCTTAAAGACTTAGCAGCCTAGCACCTCCCACCAGCTGGAGACGGGGATGGCTGCACAAATGCAAACTACAAGTAGAAGACATCATGAAGCACACCACGGGCAACGGTTTAAATACCAACACACAAGGAACTAAACGCACCACGGATCGAAAATCTTGGCAGCTTGCTCCATGAGCTCCTGCAAGCTGCGCTGTAGCTGTGACTCCAGTTCCTTCTTCTCCACTGAAGCCTTGGTCACCTTGCCCGAAACATCTGGCATCAATCTCTGTGGAAGCACATGTGTCATCTTGGAAGGCTAGCGGCTAGCGACTTCTGACTCACGTACTCAGGGGCATAGCCTAAAAATAACGGGCTGCTTGCAGCTACAAACCTCTTTCGGGATGACGGGATGACGCTATGGTGTGCCAGTATGTTCCAATGTTCCAGTGTGTCCGGCCTGAGCTTGGAGTTCTTCGCGCTTTGTCTTCAGCAAAACGACTTCCTCCTCTAAGGCCTTGTGCCGTCCCTCACTGGCAGACCTCTGTTGATGCATCTCGTCATTCACAGCAGCCAATGCTTGTGCAGCCTCCCAGCCCTTTTGTGCTAGTTGCTCCTGAGCCGACGCCAAGGCCCTGGATGCTTCCTCTAACTTCGTCTCCACCATCTGCTTTTGTGACCTCTCTGCCTCCAACTCCGCCTCCAGTTTCCCCAACTCCTGCCGTGGAACGGTGCAAGCTTCTTGAATGTGTAAGCCATGTCTGACACTATTGGAAAAATCAGGTACACTGCCCAAGCCGGTCCACTGTGCCCAGCTCTGTAGTGCAAACCTTACAAGCTGAAGCTATTTACATGGAAACAGTGTCAATGTTTTCGGAGTTTAAATAAATAGCGAAATAGTGCAACACTCTTGCGAGAAGCTGAGCACTCAACAGGCGATGCAGGGCTGGCAAGAGACCTGCTTTTCGGCAGGTCAAAGGCTCCCAGGCTCCCAAGCAAACAAGGAAAAGCGGCTCAGTTCCAGGCGTTTGCAATCGAATCTCTTGCCTGAGGCGTCGCAACTCTTTCTGCCATTTGTCTTAGAGTGCTGAATGATCAGTTCTAGATCTTAGGGGTCATGTGCAGCCAAGCAGCATCTGCTCCTCCAAACGTTGCAGGTGACCGGAAACATCAAGGAGCTGATCTTCTCGCAAGCCTGGCACACCCACCGCACATGCCCACAACGGAAGCCAAACACCTGCGGCTGGTATTTCTATTTTGCTCCATTGGCCCAGCACCTCTTCTTGAGAACTCCCGAGTCAACTCCTGCACCGGATAACCCTTTCAAAAACAAAACGTCCCATCAGCAAAGTCCAATGCTGTCAGCAAACCAACCCGACTTCGATCATTGGTCCTGTGCTTCCTTTGAAAGTGATGCAAGCCTCAAGTGACTTCGAGGGTTGAGATGGAGCACTCACGTGACTCACGTGCCAAACTCCAAACTATATACAGTATGTATATACAATGCTTAGAAATGTCCACGTTCTATTCGTGAGGGGCTCACTGCCTTTGAGAATTGCCAACACATGAGTTCACATGAGCGTTGCCACTGTGCGGTAGGATGCAACTTCTTTCGGCGAATGTCATTTCACCAAGTGGCTGGGTCTGTGTGTCTTGACACAGCTGCCGCTGCAATTGCAATTCAGCATTCAGCCGCTCTTGCTCCATCTTCCTCAGAGAAGGATGGAGCTTGTGCTGCACTTGGGGACTCTGTGCCGCAACTGGATGCTTTGGGGAACTCTGCGCCGCGCGCGGCCCAAAGAAGGGATATAGGATCGTGAAATGCTCCTTTTCTGTCATTGCTTCTTTGTTGGCCCGAGCTGCGATTCAGCCTCATTGCTTCTCGCTTGAGACACCTTGGTTCAGACTTAGCGCGGACTCTCTAGGTGAATGTGACTCAGAACCTGAGCGGGGGCAACCATCATGATGTGGCATGACTGCTTGGCTTACTCATACCCAATCTCCGCTTCTATGTTTGGGTTGAGGGCCCTGAGGGCAGATTGGCTTCACACCCACCGAGCCTGCTCTTCAAGAGTCTTCGACTCTTGCCCCAGGCGCAAGGCTTCCTGAACAAAAGCGCCGCGTGTCTGCGTGCGTCTGTGTGTGGGATACTCTTGTGGCTTCTCTTATGCTTCGACTTGACTTTTTGAGGCAAGTAACCGCAGATTGTTGTCCCAGCTGCTGCTCAAGGCTTCCTTTCTCCTCAGAAATCCATCTCTGCTTCTGAAAAGGGGTCGAAATGCTGCAGCGTTCTAGCTCAAGGCAAGAAGCCAACTTCAGGCGGATCACCTCACCTGTTGGTGAAACTCGTGCAAAACGAGGTCGAGCTCACGCTCTGCTCCAAGGTCATGCCTTGTTCATACTATCTATCTATTTCCTGACAATACCAAACCAATTCAACCATATACTTGTTTGACTTCCAATGTTCCAATTCATTTTGTGAACATCCTTTATGGCTATGAATTCTAGGCTCTAGATCTGGAGGCTTCTACGTCTCGGCCAATGATTGCTAGTCTGCAAGACGCATGTGAGCCACCTCTTCCCTTCCCTCCACTACAAGGCGTCATACCAAGCAGGTCCGCAATACCCTGCCTACTGCTTCTTGATAGGCCTTCAACGAACAGCCCCCGTAACACCCCACCCCCAGAGCCTGAAAGGAACTCTGAGCCTCAGCTACCAGTAGGCTCCAAATGAGTGCGCAGGGCATATCGCGCAAAGAGTGAATTCCAAGAAATCCTTCCGCTTCTTGCCACTAGAAGCAATGCCCTTGTTACTACTACTATATATAATAGCTTCTTGTTCCTAGTAGTAATGCCAGGAGCTACTAGTAGCTTCTTGCTGTCATGCTCTGCCAAGGGGGTGCCCCAGCCCCATTAAGTGCAGTCAGGAGGACGATCCGCAAACTCCTTTTGTTGAGTCTCCACCTGCTCAAGCCTGAGAGTGTAACAGGGGACTGAATACACACCTTGATTAGCCCATAGCTCGGTTTGGCAAATGATCCATGTTTAACATCTGCCAGAATCACCAAATGCAACAAAGCGGCAATTGTTGTCTCTGCTCTTGCAGCCGCTGTTGCTGCTCTTGCAACTGCTGTCGCTGCTCCTCCAGTCGAGCTTTCGACAGGTCGTGGGTCTCAGAGATCTGCCGCCTCGGGTTTGGTCCACAGTGATGTAGGGGACGGATCTGGTTCGTACTTGAATTGAAAAGCAATGCGGGCAAGTGGGCTGCTTGTCCATGAGATCATGCTGCAGTTGGCCCAACTCTTCAGAGATTTTGCCGACCATCGCCGTCAAGTCCTATCGCGAGCAACCACTTCGGCCGAACCTCATAACGGATCCCGATGCCATGCAAAATTCGGGGGTGCCCATGTCCCACACATTGCATATATAACCGAAAGTTCGCCTGGTGACGGAAACACGATGAATCCAGGACAGGACGTTTTATTCCTGTCCTCCTTATCCTCTTGTGCCTGTCTCAGCCTGCTCTCTGTGCTTTGCAGCTGCATCTCGACTTTGCCGAGTTGACCCTGAAACTGCCTTAGAGTAAGGCACTTGCCACACAAAGGTGTTGGTAGCCACAAGGACCACAAGTCTAGAATACCGTCTATCTATGTCCATGTATGTAGACGGTAGACTTTTGACATGGGCTCTTGGCCTTCCAGCATCATGGCACAGCAACTGCCAAGAGGCTCTTCTGCCTCAGCCCGGGTCCGCAGAACTGCGTGGTGCACGGCCTCCACTGCTTCGCGCTCCCGCCGGGCCTGCGGGTGGAGACCCTGATAAACTTGACCATAGATTCCATAGATTCCATAGATTTACAGATTGCTGGATTGCCCACACTATCTGGTCCTAAGCATCTTGTCGAGGTAACGGATTTGGTTTAAGCTGACAGTACGTCTAACGGTCCCGTGGTTGTTGTTTTGTTATTTTTACTTTAGGGGTGGGGGCAATGATCCGATACATACTGCTGCGTCATGCCTACTGTTTGTGGGTGGGAGAGCGGGGCTAAGCGATGACGCCAAAACAACGACGTTGCTTCGGAGAAGTGCCTTCAGGTTGTGGTGGGTCGTGTCGACAGCGACGAGAAGTCTGGTGAAGAATGATGGAATATAAGCCAGCTCCGGTTCTTGCTTCTGATTCAGAATCCCCAAACAAAGAACACCATCAAGGTGTTGCCAAAATGCTATATACATACCGAATTGGTACGTATATAGAATAACCCACTTTTCATGTATCGACTGGACAGCACGACGCAGCCCTTAACTGAAAAAAGAAATGCAAAATCTGCGAGGCTGGTAGGCGGACCGTGACCTTATTTAACAGCTTAACGAGTCTATATAGACCACAAAGGAGAAAACAAGCATCCACCAGCCAAAACAGTGTCGGAACAGTGCAAGGCAAACGGGAAACAAAGCTTGGAGAACATGTCAAACCGATGTCCAGCGGGCAAAACATAAGACAGGGAGGCAGAAGCACAGCCCAAATCCTGTGAAGAAGTAGAAACCCCCAAAGCAAAGCCAGAGATGATTCGGTGCCTGCTGCGATCTTAGACAACAAGCGCCTTGCGTTGACTGAAACATCTGGCTTCCACTCATCGTCACTACTGCCAAGCCACCATGGTCTCACGAGTTGCAATGAGCTCTTCTTCCAATTGGACGCATCTTGCCTGCGGGCCACAGAGTCTCAAGCAACCTATACACCCACCAACACCAGAAAGGCACAGAAGCAACAAATGAGACATGTTCTTCTGCCCGCTTCATGGCATGCCTGAGGGTCCTCAGTTCACGAGTAAGACTTGGAGGAAACCAGCACCTTCTCAGTTCACGTTGGTCGTTTAGGCCATTAGAGAATCTTCCAGTAACTAATCTTGCACCAGCACTTCCCCAGGTTATCACTCGCTAACCTGCAGCTCCTTGACACTCTTTCCCACTGCCCAGTAACATATACAATAATGTACACTATATAATACACGAACGTTTCACAGCCCTACTAAGATTGTTTTGATGTGCTGCTGTTTAGCGTTCCTCGAAACACTCCCCCTCAAAATGACCCAGGCCTCAAGGCCTTTCTTTTCAGCAACGTCGTTGCGCCGTCTCTGCTCCTCCGCCTCCATCTCGATCAGTCTGGGCCGCGAGTTTGGGCTGGGCTGGATTTCTTGACCTTTCCGTCTTCATCGCCCGCTCGGACACATGTCTTCTGAGATCAGTGAAAGTTGCGCTCCCGGCTGCAGACACAGCAAGATCTGTCCGCCAATCTTACTCCTACTCTGACTGTGCCGCCATCCCGATTTATATACATCCAGGGTATTCATCCAATGCCAATATGACCCTCGCCTTTGGGTCATGCTCTCCGCAGCCTGCCGCTGGAACTTGGCCGCGTCATCCGCCCGCTGCTTCAGCTCACGCTGCAGCTCCTGGAGGGAATAGTGCTAACCCAAAGAACAAACTGTTTATGTTTAAAGCCCGGGGGAGTAGGCCGCTAGTAGAGGTTAGCTATATAGGGAGTCGGTAGCTAGTAGGGAGAGGTAGCTAGTAGCTCGAGTAGCTACAGGATAGCTCACGCTTCTTCAAGGAAGCTCCCCGCCGCCTTTAAGCTTCCTTCAAGAAGCGCTGGCACTAATTTGTTGGATTCTAGATCTTTTGTGCTTCAAAAATCGACAGCGGCTTCGACAGGGATCGGTCATTTGTGGCAGGATGAGCCCCATAAGTCCTCCTCCTTGGTAGAGGAGTCGTGCAGCTGCTGCCGCTGCTTTTGGCATTCCTTAAACACTTCTGCCAATGGAAGCCGTTTCACAGACTCAATCGCATTCATTCTGAAAGTGGTTTAAACAGCTGCAATCCTATCCAGGCCCGCTTGCCTGCCGTTGTTCCTCTAATTCATCCCGGAGCTTCTGCACCTCCTGGCATATATCGATTTCAAACGGAATCCAACGTAGGTCCAAGTTCGGTTCAAGTGCCAGTTGTGGGACCCATAGACATGACTTGACCTAAAGCTGCTGCCTATCTGTGGAACTGACTGGCTAACAGGATCTTCGCTGCACCTGGCGCTCTGTTGAACTCGCTGCCCGGAGAGTTTCCTTGGAGAAAGCAACGGTGCTGTGCAGGCGATGATGAAATGAGAGGGTGCAGGTGCAGGTTTGTTGATGTCTGGTGCTCCTTTGGTAGCATCAAAGTACAACTGAGAAACACTGCAGTGCCGCGGGAGAGTGGAAAAGGATAAACCTATACTATTGAGACAGGGTCTGAAGCCAAGCCTCATTGTCTTTCCGAACCTTTGCCAGCTCTTCAGTCATTGACGCCACGGTCGCAGAATCACCTGCATTGCAGCAGTGGTCTAACTCTCACGCTGCACAACAATTGAAGTGGACGTGGATTGCCACATCCATATCATGTTGGAGGGATAATTACTGCACATGTGCATTCCGCAATCTGCTCCTCAGCATCAGGCTGGCCTACCAGAATTCCTGTGACAAACTGCAAAACGCATGTCCCCTGCGTCTCCAACTGAGGGGGCAAGTAGGCCTTTAGCTTTCTCACTTTGCACATCTGCGAGGTTTTTCTGCAGCTGCTTCTTGTCGCGCTCCGCCTGAAAGCTTGTCGGCTTGTTGCCAGTTGCACGCAGCCAAGGCCGCAGTCATGCCCCAATCATTCCATCTAGCCCCGCCAACATGCGCAGGCAAAGGAAAATGTTCCACTTGCTTACATACTCTTCTTTGGCAATGGCATCAGCGCCCGCATGGACCTTTTCACATTCTGAGCTGTGGCAGCTGCCTCTCCTGGTGATCCCCTTCGGGGATCTTTCAGGCAGAGCACGGGCTTGGACTACGGAAACTCAAACTCACTAACATAGAACGACTGTGGAGCTTGGTCAGCATCTGCATTCAACAACCGCCCAGGTGCATAGCCCGCCTCGGCATTGAACGTTGATTATTCCCAACCGAGACCAAAACAAGGGGGCCGAAAGCATACGAAGCGCATCAACAGACTGACAAGAATGGAAACGTTGTACAGGTTAGAGCGGTAGGCATAACACGGTTGCTCAATAGCCAAGAGAAAGTGTCCACTACCCTAATTGGAATGTCCCAGACCCGAAGAAGGAAAAAGAACTCCTCCAGGGAATGCTGAATGAACTCTTCAGAGGTTCCCCAAAGATGTGCTGAACTCTGCAAGGCACCGCCCCGAGCACCACAAAGAGGGGCATCAAATGCTCTGCTTGGCCTCGGGGCTGAGCCTCTAAGGCGCTAGGGGCCTCCAACCAAGAGCTGAGACGACGCTTCCGCTCCTGTACCAAAGGCGACTCCAATCTCAAGAAATTGCAAGGATAATCATTTAGCAATATATTGTTTAACAGGTTCCTTCAGGCTGCCAAACTTGGAGAAGCCTTGAATGGCCATCTGAGCAAAGAGCAGCTGGGACATATAGAACTTTGACTGGATCAGAAAATCTATATACGCACATGTCCGTGCTCGGTGGATGATGCGCGAATTGTTCCAAGACACTTCTGCTTCAAACATATGGATGCTTTTGATACCCCTGTACAAATGCCGCGTCACAAAAGAAATCTGGAAATCCCTTCCGGGCGGCCGCTTCTTCGCAGCCTTATGGTGGCAAACCACCAAACACAATACCCACCTCTTGGCTGATCTTCTCCGACTGCACAGTGTCTGCCAACCAAGCATGAAAGTTCTCAGAATGCTTGATTCCTCTGTCTCTCACAGTAGGATCTCGTGCCTCTGGCGATCAAGAATGTGACACATTTGGCACATATTATATCTGTTTATAATGCCCGCGCGGCGGTCTTCTCAAATTGCAGGCTTTAAGTTTGAGAGAAGCTTGACTTGAGGCCAGGGGGGGGGGAGGTCGAAAGCTAGCCGAATCGCACCGGATGTACTAGTTACATAGTCGGCAAAGCATGTAGTGATTACATGTTTTGGGAGAAAGGTTGCTACGTACACACTTTGCGCTAAAGAATGTAAATCTGTAAATGTGACATCGCCGACTGGGAAGGGTACATTGGAACAACACGGGTGCACTCGTTGGCAGGCACGAAGATGCGTGATCGGCAAATCTGGGGGGTAAGTTTACCCCCTCTTTTGTATGCCTTGAGTCGGAAAGAGGGGTAAGCATTTCTGACATCACACGGACTGTACATACACTAGGGCGTCCGTAGTGTAGGAGAAGCACGGGTAAAGGTATATGGAATAGAGTGTCTTGAGGAAATAGCCGGCTTATGGTTATTGCAATTCTGGGGGGTAAATTTACCCCCCGCTTATGTATGCCTTGTGCCGGAAAGAGTGGTTTAAGCATTTTTGGCATCACAAGGACTGTGCATACACTAGGGCGTCCGTAGTGTAGGATAAGCACTGGTAAAAGGTATAAGGAGTAGAGTAGAGTGTCTTGAGGAAATAGCCGGCTTATGGTTATGGCAAATCTGGGGGGGTTAATTTACCCCCCGCTTATGCATGCATTGGGCTAGAAATAGGGTAAAGAACTTGTAGCAGTGAAGTACAAGGCCTATGCAGCAAGCAGCAGCCAGCAGCAGCAGCCGCCAGCAGCCAGCAGCCAGCAGCAACCACCAACCAGCAGCCAGCCAGCAGCACCACGCAGCAGCAGCGCAGCACCAAGCAGCACCACCACCAGCAGCAAGCAGCAAGCAGCAAGCAGCAGCAGCAGCAAGCAGCAAGCAGCAGCAGCAGCAGCAGCGGCGTCGTCAGCAACAGGTAGCAAAGCAGCAGCTACAAAAGCGGCAACCAGCGGCAGCAGCAAACAGCAGCAGCAAGCAGCAGAGCGGCAGCAGCAGCACCGTTTACACCAAGCCACCGTTTACACCCAACCAACCACGTTCACACGTTCAACCAACCCCCGCTACACGGCGCAGCTGGGAGTCGAACGGGGGGGGGGAGGGGGGGTTAGCGTGATATATCAAGCCTTAACGCACACAGCTCATCCCACTACCAATTGCTAAAGCAAAGAAGAACTCAGCTAGCATGCTAGCTTTCGTGATCAAGCTTTAAGGCACGCAGCTCATTCCACTTCCAATTGCTAAAGCAAAGAAGAACTCAGATAGCATGCTAGCTTTCGTGATTACCTACCGCTTTTGTATGCCTTGGGTAGGAAAGAGGGGTGAGCATTTCTGACATCACACGGACTGTACATACACTAGGGCGTCCGTAGTGTAGGATAAACACTGGTAAAAGGTATAAGGATCAGAGCGTCTTGGGGCAATAGCCGGCTTATGGTTATGGCAAATTTGGTGGTAAATTTACCCCCCGCTTTCGTATGCCTTGGGTCGGAAAGAGGGGTCGGCATTTCTTGCACCACAAGGACTGTACATACATTGGAGCGTCCATAGTGTAGGATAAGCACTGGTAAAAGGTATAAGGAACAGAGCGTCTTCAAGAAATAGCCGGTAGCAAATTTGGTGGGTATGGATACAATCAACAGTTTTGCCAAACCACACATGTCCAAGACAGTAAATTCAAACACTTTACTCTCAGGTATTGAAGGTTCATCAACTGACGAGGCGCGGCCAAAATGTTATGTGATGCATCCACAAGAAGAAGACGAGCAAATGACCATGCTTCCGACGAAGCTGACCATGCTTCCGACAAAGCTCCTCAATGAATCCTAAATACAAACACTAAATCAGTGGATGTTTTGCAAAAACGCATGCAAAATCCCATGAGTGTCATCTTGATTCTCCAATAATTACGTGTGCTTCCGCTACCCAGGATCATCCAAAATTCAAGTGCATGATGTCTTTGACATCCTGGTTTTGAATGCACACCCCAAAATCAAAAATACCAAACAAAACACCAACAATTTCCAACATGTAACAACACCTCCACTAATGCCAAAACGCCTGCAGCTGGGAGTTGAACCGCGGGGGGGGGGGGTCCTTAGCGTGATATATCACGCTAGAGTGGGGGGGGCCAGGCCCCCCCCCCTTAGTGTGATATATCAAGCTTTAAGGGGCGCGCAGCTCATTCCACTACCAATTGCTAAAGAAAAGAAGAACTCAGCTAGCATGCTAGCTTTCGTGACAAAGGGAAAGGGATCATGTCTCCAAGATGCGAAGAAGTACCCAAAGTTGTGAAAGGATGCACCAGAGCCCACAATCAAAACCCCTTCCTCCCGCAAAGGCTGCAAAGCTTCCCCAGCTTCCATATGTTCGGTGGCATCTTGGCTGCCGTATAGGGACAGGGACACCACTGGCACCGATGCACCGGGGAACATGAGCATCAACGGCACAAAGACCCCATGGTCCCAACCTCTGGAAAGATCAGCTGTACACTTCAAGCCTTTCGCAGACAGCAAAGAGATAACGCGGTTGGCCAAACCAGGGCTTCCAGGTGCTGGATACTCATATTCGTAACTCTCCTCAGGGGCTAACAGTCTCAGGGCGTCTCAGGCTAAATGTTTTTTGGTCCTTCGTTGGTCTGCAGTGTACAGTGTGTGGCGTGGGCGTTGTTACAGGAACTACCCTACGAGGATCTCACTGTCACTGCACTCAAGGATCACTCATCTTACATAAATCTCTGCTCCTAGTAGCCATGCCCTTTGCTACTAGGAGCTTCTTGCTCCTAGTAGTACGGCCAGGAGCGCCTAGTAGCGTCCGTGCTCCTAGTAGCGATGCCCTTTGCTACTAGTAGCGTCCTACCCCACCTGCCTTCGGGAAGCCCCCATAGTCGAAGTACAACTTGTGAGACTTCGCACCAGATACTTTCAGCTGCCTCTCGGTTTCCCAGTGGGCCGTAACGATCAAAATGGCTGACGGTGTGGTCGGCAAAGTGGCTGGGTAGCTCTGAAAGAATTTGGCTATCCCTGGCTGCTTCCCAAGAATCGGCATTGGCCCGCCACCGTGATTGACAAACACCTGGGCTTTCAAAACGGATGAAACTTCAGTGGAGAGAAACACTCAAACGAGGATACTTGGGCTATACTATTCAGTGGGCCTTCGACCAAACTCACAAATGGGGCAAGATGCAGCAGGCATGTGATGCCCACCGGCCCCTTTCCAATCGGCAGCATCGTCGCCAGCCATGGATTTAACACAAAGGGCGCCCATGCTCTTGCAGCCACCAGCGGATGACTGTGAGCCATTGAAAATCACCATAAGACCATAAGAGCCGTCTTGAGTTTCAACATGGATTCAAGAAAACACCAACCCTTCAACCAAGCTTGTCCCCTACCCAATCGGACAAGCCATGGCCACATGGCCAATGCTTGCATAAGAAAGCTCGTGTCTGTGCCTGCTCCAGCTGTGCGGCACACTTCCGCAGCTCGGCCTCCAATCCACGCCGCGTTTGCTCCGAGGCGGCCAGCAGTTGCTGCGCCAAGCCCTGCCCCGGCCACTGACTGGAGACTACTCAAACCGAAGAACCCTGAGCTAGGGATTCTGTGAGACCAATTGACCTCCTTGGTTGAGAGTTTTTGGCAGTGTCCACTTCCCAACAATGCTGTCAAGACTCCATCGTGTCATTCTCCTCCCGCCACGCGCCTTGAAGGAAAACTTAGGAACACCGCTGAAAGTTGAAACGACAATTAGTGTGGCCCTCATTCTCACCGATTTTCAAGCCTTGGAATCCTTGTCCTATTCAATTAGTGCAGAAATGTTCGCCCTAATGGAGGCAAGGCACGTTTTCTGTGGCAGGAGTCCTCCTGCAACTGAGATACGCCGAGGTGCAAGTCAAGTGCAAAACTTCAAACTGTGTTTCCGAGCCCCACCTTTGTTCGAAGTCGCTCTTCAAGTCGTATCCTTAGAGTGTCACTCAACTACATTGCCACTTCTCTAGTTGGCACCACCTTCCGATACACTCTTTTGGCCTCTTGTCACATGCGTATCATTCCGTCGGCTTCTTGTGGAACTCATCGCTTACTGGCCATGCGACAACCAGGGGAAGTTACAACCTGGGAGACCACACAGCCTGCATCGAAGAGTGAGAGCCCCAAGGAAATGCTTGAAGGTTGCAACGCTTGAGTGACCCAGAGTGCTTACAGGGTGCCAGGGTGGAAATCAGAGGAAGCACACACACACCGGACCTAGCTAGCGAGTTGTGTGTGTGTGTCACACTCTGTCCCAAAGACTATGTGCAGGGGGCACAGGCCCATCGTGGATACCTGGGCCAACGAAGCTGTTCCACGACTGGGGATGCGGAGATTGATCACCTCCATGTACCTACTGAACTTTTGTACAAGCTGTGACTCCACTTTCCTCGCTTTGATTCATGGTTTGTTCACCATACTTCCCCCAAGCCTTTGTTTCTCCTTCAGCCGCCGCGCGACTGCAGACAAGTGAACACTTTGTTAAACTTTCCAAGTGACCTAGCTGACTTCACCACCTTCCGTTTCCATCGTCCATTTCTCGGAGGAACAGAGTTAACTGCTAACCCATTATCCAAGTGTGTGCCGCTCTGTCGTCCCACCGGGTGCAGAGTGTGATCCCCGTCACTGGGGCGTTGAGACCATTCCGGACTGCCGTGTAACTGACCCAGCGGTTTCTGCATGCGTTGGATTATGGTTCTGGAATCACATGTTTCACCTATGAGTTTCCAGATTCACATGCTGCCGAGCCACGGAGACTCCACACCGCCCGGTTTCACGGAGATTCGACAACCGCCAGGTTTACATACATATTTGTGTCACTCACACACCCACACACCCACACCCCCCCCCACCTTGCACCCGAATTCGCACTTTTATCCCACCCGCTATCTAGGGTAACAGAAGGAAATGGTACTCGACACACTTGTGTGTCGGTGCCTTTCCTTCTGCTTCTCCCGTTCTAGTTCTAGCTACCCGAGCGGTTTAAGACTAATGTCCCGCTCGCTAACTAGCACATTTAATTCATGCGGCCAAGTATTCAGTAATTAGCAGGTTTTGTAACTAGTGGGCCTCGTAACTACACCTAATTTTCTCTCTTGCCCTTGCGTGTCCCTTTCTGTCTTTTCTTCTTTTTCTTTCTTTCTAAGGCTTTTTAGGTGGTAGTAATTTCCTCCCGAGCGCCGATACCGGCGCTCTGTGTGTGCCACACTCTGTCCCAAAGACTATGTGCAGGGGGCACAGGCCCATCGTGGATACCTGTGCCAACGAAGCTGTTCCATGATGGGGGATGCGGAGATTGATCACAACCATGTACCTGCTGAGCTTTTGTACAAGCTGTGACTCCACTTTCCTCGCTTTGATTCATGGTTTGTTCACGATGCTTCCCCCAAACCTTTTTTTCCCTTCAGCCGCCTTCAGCTGCCGCGCGACTGCAGACAAGTGAACACTTTGTTAAACTTTCCTAGAGAGCTGACTTCACCACCTTGCGTTTCCATCGTCCATTTCTCCGAGGAACAGAGTTAACTGCAAACCCATTATCTAAGTGTGTTCAGCAACCTACTGTAAGAAAAACATGTATATAACTGCCATCCGGCGGCAAGTCATGTCAAGCACATCAATGTAGCAGTAAAAAGTAATGCACTGCGTGGCGCGATGCTGTCCAAATACTTTATTCTAGCCCTGGGCTGGGGAGTGTCCAGCTGAATGGATAAGTGACTAATTACTGTCTGACTTCTCCGGCGGCACTTTTCTTTTGCAGGGGGCAAGGGTAGCGTCTCTTCTAGTGGGCCACGCTGTACTTTTGTTTCGTGTTTACAAATGTAGTGGGCATATCCTGCAAATACAGAAGCGCGAATATCGTATGCGGCTATCCAAATGCAATGTGATCTTGCTGGGAAAGGCGCCATCCTGAGAACATGTCTGCACTTTTCAGTTCTGCATTTGCCAGCGGGACATTGTAAAAAACAATGCCATTGATTGAGGCAAAGCACCTTTCGTGCTCGCTCTCTTCTAAGCGGCCTTTCAACTCGCGAAGTGGCCTCCGGGCAACCAAGCAGCAAGTTTCCAGCAACTTTGCAGTCTATGGCGATAACCTGCCAGAACCTCTCTAGACTCTAAGCCACTCTAAGCAATGCCATTTCAGAAATAAGGTATATAATTCGGCCAATCTCTGGGAGGTTTACATGATTCTGAGAGATAGTTCCGGCTCATTCTGTCAGAATTAACCGCCTGTCAGAGGAAGCAGGGCTCAGTAAAGTCCTCAGTCGAGTTTGGGCTTGCACGCTCAAAACTCATGAAATGCTGGTCTGCAAACATACACAGAAAGTGAGTGAGTGTACACGTGCGGGAAATTCATGAGATGCCAGTGCCGCCATGGCACGGGTGCCGCAGCTCCAGCTGTGCTTTCCGCAGTGCCTCGGCCGTGTCCTGCGCAGTCTGTGCCAGCTCTACCTGACGCCTGGCTCGAGTGCAATGGATTGAGGGAAAACAAGCAGAAAAATACAGTAATTTCAAAAAAGAGCAGGTCAGGGCCAGGGCCAATTCCTTTGGATTGTTCAAGCATGAGCTTCTCGGCAAGGGTGGTTATATCAAGCTTACTGTATCTTACTGTGCGGGAAAAGGGCTGTGGGAACAGAGGGGCCGTCTTTAGGCACCGTCTTTCGCCATTACAGCAAATGCGGCATAATTCCTTGTTGCCAGAGAACAAAGACAGAGAACAAAGACGGAAACATGCAATTTAAAAACGAAAGACGAAAGGTCTAAAAAGTAAAAGCAAGGTCCAAAGAAGGTCTTCTTGGAAAAGCAACACACCTGCAGCACATCAGGCCTCTGAGCTTGGCGCTTTGTTTGTGCCACTTTTTCCTCAACCGGAAGCCGGAGGCGGCAATTGCTGGGAATTGCACTGGGGCCGAATGTTCCCAATGCAAAGGTGCAGCCATGAAATCAATCAAATCCAGCACTCTGACACATCCATGAGCAATCATTTGGTTGCAAAACTGCTCTCTGCCTTATAGATTGTCTCTTTAAGAACTCGAGTACATGCACGCACGCCTCCAGCTGGTGAAGACGCCGGCAGAATGGCTGCCAGAAAGGTCCAAAGACATCGTGGATGTGTACCTCCGGGTTCCGAGTTCAATACCCCAATCTGATTCTGAAACAAGTTCGAAACAGTGAAACCCTCATTTGTTGCTTCCCTCCACTCATGCGCGCACCAGCTGGTCAGAACAGCCATTGAGACTGCAGCGGCTGCAGGGACGAGAATGGCGGCTCAAGAGCATGTCGATGCACTCCTCCTAGGCACAGTGAGGTTTTTCATGGCATGTGGCACGCCGTGGCACGTGCTTCAATGGTTCATTATATACACATCTGCGCTGACGCTCCACCTCCAAATCGGGAGAAGGGAAGGGAGACACCGGAGGTTGAACTCAAGAGGAGCTATATACACGACAATATCTTCACATGGCCAAATGAACAACGAGTCGCAACATAAATGCAATCAAGGCACAGAGAAGACCTGCGGATCAAAGGTGGCTAGCGACCGCCTGCCGATTGGCAAAGTGGGTGATCGTGTGTGGAACCGGGTTCGTCATATTCTTCTCTCAAGCTAGTAAGGTTCATAAGCCCTTCCGCTTGCATGCTATTGCCAGGCATGAAGAGCAGCTCCAGCCAACCGGTTCAAGCTTACGCCGCCTCACCTTGGGCTCATGTGGCTTTGGGATTTGCTTCGGCTTCCCCAGGGAAAAAATTGAAAAAAGTTGATTCATTCATTGGTTCGGCAACTCTTTTGCGAACGGATGGAAAGTTGTGCCCTGGCCCCGTTCTAGCCCTTAGTTCAACATGAAGCTCGCGCGCTAAAGCTCCTTTTTACCTGGTTGGGCACTTGAGCCAAAAGTATATGGCATGTACCTGTATAGCAACTATACTGGGACCTCATCCCTATTGACACCCCCCACATCCGTACTTCGACGGGGAAGGGAGATGAGTGGATGTAAAAACCGGAGAATGAATCACGTTCTCAATAGTGTATTGGAGGTCAACCAGTATGTCCTATTGAATTGAATTAGCAAACGATCTTGCATTCGCTTGAAAGTTGGATCAAACAGGTAATGGAGCTACAAACGGAAAACGTGCACCTACCTATGGTATCATGCGATTACCAACGGTGTGAAACACAATCCTCTCTCACTCCCATGATGCCAAAACGGTCATCATGAATTACCCAAGATCCCTCAGTACTTGAAGTACCGGAAGTAGTATGTCGGTATGACCCCAATGCTCA